AACTCACTTTTGTGATTGAATCATCAATTCAAGCCAAACATTAATCAAATAGGAACAATTTCACTCAAAGTATACCTAGACACAGGAGAACTATTGTCGTGAAAGTGTTGTACAATCGATTACGAATTTAGATTGCAGAGAGTTTGTTCTGAGCGCTAAAGGCACTCACGATAGAGCACATTTTGCTTTATTCTAACACAGGGAAGCAATCTCTTTTTCCATTGCTTCACGCCAAAAGTGGTTCCCGTTATCATCATCAAGTGCAAGTGCTTCGTTTACTGTCCGCGGAATCGGAATGCCAAACCGAATGGGCAAAGGACGCCGTAGACGGCCTTTTTTCTTGGCTCTTCTGACTTGGCGGGGCTGGGACTTCTTGTGCATCTTGGTCAATTGAATCTGATCACTATTGTCCTCACGAGGACAACGAAAATCGTGGATATTCAACATAGGTTTTGAATAGCCATGATATCGAACAAAACGACGCATAACACGGCGAGTTTTCTTCAAGAAAGTACGTGCCCATCGTTGATGTGGTCCATTTGAATGGTTACCAGAGGCGGATCCAATCTTCTTGGAGCAAATGTACTTGGCGACGTCGTAAGGAAAATCTTCGCGGCAAGCACGATATTTCTCCCACGAAGTTTCATCAGTCTTCCATAAGATCTGCAGGAATAGTACACCATCACGAAACTCATGACCACAAATAGAATCAAATAGATCTTCATCCTCCGTCAGTCCAGCAAGATTCCGGAGGTGAACGTCGAGCGACTCCGGTGAGACTTGGTGATCATCGAGGGCTTCATCGGCGGAATGAACTGAGTCTTCATCTCCATCAGGAGAAATCGAGGCAGATTCACCTTGCTCCGTCATGAAGGAATTTGTTGGCTCCTCTTGTGTCACCGGGACAGGTCCAGTTTGTGGTAACCGCGGACCTTCAGGCGTAGCATCGACAGTAGCTGTAGAATTGGCTACTAACATTTCCTGATCTTGGGGGTGCAGTTCGGTGGGTAGCTCAACTTCAGCAGTCGGAACGGATGGAGTTCTTAGTGGGTCCTGGGCAGAGAGCGGCTGAAGCTCCTCTTGATCAGTACGCAGTAGAACTTCGTCGGACGTAGGATCGGTACGAAGTCGTTTTGAAGCCGGGGGTCCATACACTTCTTCAATACCTCGTTCATACTCCTCTACACTGTCCAATGGTTGAGGCTCCTCTTGAATTGTCGGAAGTGGATTGTGCGCCCTGTCGGAAAGAGCAGGCGGGAAATCAGAGTCACTAACGGCAGTCAATATGGTGCGCTCATCCCTTTTGAAAATCTCAAGGCTTTTTCCTTGCTTGAACACGAATGGAGCATCTTCTCGCGGGTATCGTGGTCGAATGACAGAGCGGGTAAAAAATTGGCGATGAGCTTTCTCATCATCGGGCTCAGTGACAATAACATATGTAAATGCATCACCAGAGTCAGGACTGAATCCGAGGAAACGCGCTTTCATCATTCTCTGTCTTGGGAACGCTCCGTGAGGAGTATAAAACCAGACAGGTTGCCAAAAAGAGAATCGACACTTGCTTATGTCAGGGACTGCGCCAAACTCAGCTTCCCATGACGTTCTATTGTTAAGAACTCTCTTTGACGTTCGTGCTTTCACAAAAGCAACATATTCCAAACAGTAACACCAATATTCAGCAGGGGCTCCAGTCAATAGCAAAATATGTTGAACCACATGTTTTAGTCTGCCTCCTCTCAGTTCGGCAAGGTTCTGCTGAGGGCTCTCAGCCTCAACAACAGGTATTAGTTGAGTGGTTGCTTCAAGAGTATGTTTCAAGACATCATCAGGGGGAAAAGCCATGGTCCGTTTCCAATCAATTTCGTCCGTGTTCATTCGGCGAATTGTAGTCCGGCTAGTCGGCTCATATTCCGCATCTCCAGTGAGAACAATTCTTGGCAAAGATGTAAGTTCATCATCGGTGATGGCCTCCATTCGATAGTAGCACTTCAATCCATCAAAGAATAATGGGAGTGTGTGCTTTGCTTTTCCCGAACCAAACACACAACATTGTGTTCCAAAGTCCCCGCAAGTCGTCTTTGCGTCAGATGGGCAATCATCCACTGCATTGCCCGCATTACGTACTTGCGCCGGTGGGAGTAAGGATTCATGCTGGTTTGGACTCGTGTCGTGAAGGACTTCGTTGGCGACTGCACACCATTCATTGCCAGCAGCATCAATCAATTTTCCGACGACAGATGCCACAGGTAAAACTGTTCCAGAATGTCTTCCTGCCAAAGCTCCCATGAGCTCGACCAGTCTTCCCGTAGTACTAAGTCTTCTCCAGATGTAGCCGGCAAAAAATTGGTCGGCGCCACTGTCCGTGATCAGGACGGGCTCATTTGGTTCCGGAGGAGAAGTGGTACGGCGGAGCACACGCTTTTTCGTTGGTGCACGTCCGCGTGCTTGTCAGTTGCAAGTGGTGATAGTGTCGTTGAAAGAGACATCTTTACCATTCTTGTTATGTCGAAGGCGGGGGTTCGCACTCACAATTCTGAACTTGTGAGATCTGGAATCAGTGGTGCCGTCCTGAGAATTGTCGTCTTCCTCAGTGTCAATAGCTCCTCGGCGAGCTTTCTTTGTTTTTCGATCAAGGTTGGGATCATAGGACTTATTACGAACCTTCTTCATATCAAATTCCCTCTCGAGGTCGCGTGGACGCTTATTAGTACCATGAGCCGCACGGCGCCATTCTTCCAAACGCCGGAAAGCTCCCCTTCCTAATGCTTGCTTCCATCCATTAGGAAAAAATGGAATGTGCCATTTAGGAGGTTCGGATCCCTTGGTCTTGGTTCGAGATTCGGCCCGGCGGATTATCCCAGGGACAATATCCCCATAATCACGGATTGGGGGGTCGCCACTCAGCATCCTCATTGAATCAGCTCGATTTCGGATATGATCCAAGTAATCATCAATGGTCTTCAAAGGGTTTCGAAGAATAAATTGTCTTGATTCTTCAAAGGCATCAGACTGTAATGCACGAAGTAAAAATACACGTAGAATCTCTCGGTTGGTCGCAAGCTGGTTCTTGTTTTCGTTCAACCGATTGATAATTTGCTTCCAATCGTTGATAAATTCGTGAACTTGCTTGGTATGATCCAACTTGATCTCATTCAAACTGTCGATTGCATGCACCATGAAATGGGCTTGGTTTTCTTCAGTATTAAATGTCTTCATTAGTTTCGTATAGAAATCATGAGCAACTTTGCGGTTGGTGTGTCGGCTGACCTCACCAGACATCCAATTGGCATGACCGCATTGGAGACTTTTCGCAATGGCATACCATCCAGCACTAGACGCTTTGGCAGCACTGTCACTCTTGTTGTGGTATTCTGGATCAGTCAAAGCTTCAGAAATGCCAGACTGACCGAACTCCAATAGAACAGAATCCCACCAACCCCAAAATTCCTCAGGCTCGCCAGTAAATAGATCGCATACTGGGGCTTTGAACTTGAAGTCAGAACCAGTAGGCGCGACGGAAGTTCCATCGCCAGTCATGGAGCCTAGAACTGCAACTTCCAATTCTTTGGCTCGTGCTTCAAGAACGGTTCGAATTTTGGTGTAGGTAAGGTCTGGAGGGAGACTCGCAGAAGGAGCGGTCGCATAATCAAAGAAATCCTTGAGACGCTTTGATTGGATGGGTCCAATCGTACCGCCAGGTCTTGGAATGCCAGCAAATCCAATTAATTCGGTTGCATCTTGTCCCTCAAAATCAGAAAGTTTACTCAATTGCATGACAGTAAAAATTCCTTGGAGCTCCGTCGCCATCGCGGCTGTTGCAGGATCTTCGTTCCATACGATACGAGCGATGGTCGACACTTCGCGGTCCGTGAATTTGTTGTTGGTCGGAGGAAGTGGAGCTGTTGTTGTGTCGTTCACTGGAATGACAGCATCATTCGGACTCGCGTCAGGACGACATGCATTCTTGTTTGGAGTGACTACACTATTGTTGTTTTCAGTTGGTGAAGGCATAGTATGAGTAAAGTTGGAAGAGCAATAAGCGACTTGTTAATCGTCAACATAAACTCATAGAGTGACTAGATGGTGATGTGATGAGTGAGTTGGAACGGAATATGGACAGACGATCTAGTAAGTCGTAGGACGACTAACTCGATCCTGACAGATTCAACAGTCTCGTGTCTGGGCTTGGGCATGCAAAATGGTGACAAAAAACGATGATAAACTAATTCTGATTTTTCCATTAGATTTGGAAGGGTTCATTTGCTCTATTTCTAAGTTTTCAGCTTAACCCTTTGATATCTTCATGAATTCCTGGAAACGTGTGTATTACATTTGAGGTAAGTTTTAATGATTGTAGTTTTATGGTTCTACGCGCGCACGGTAGGAAATTTGTCGTTCAAGCAAAAAACTTTAAATGAGGTCGGCCCTGATCAGGGCCGAGTCCAAAAAGGTGGATGGGTTACGGCAGGATATTGCCGATGCCAGTCCAATCTAAAGCAAAGCAAGTTGCTGCTGTGTTGAACAATGTCCGACTTTTGCATCCTGCATACCAACGGCGATGGATGTCATAAAAAAACTGGTTGAAGTTGACCATTTCCTTCGACTTTGAGCCAACAAAAGCAGACCTGGGTTGTGCAGTTGCCCTATCAATTGCCAAATTGGTAAACATTGACAGTGAAATTGCGAATGCTCAAGGATTCTACCGCCAAACCAAAAATGGCACCACGGCCTACTTTGCAACAGCTACAAATGCGCCCCCACCTATCAGTTTGCTTTATTGATATCTATTACAATGGCGAAGCATTATTGATTTACTTTATTTGTTTGATTTGCGAAGATTTTTGAGATTTCCTTTTGTCGTGGTTTCTCTGCCGCTCTGTTGGGTCCTGTGGCCGCCATTGAGACAGCTATCCATTCAACAATACACAAAAGTCTCCCTCAGATACCTAAGGCTTGGATTTTTTGGGACCGAGACAATGATTCAGAGGCCAAAACGGAATTAGAAAAAGGGTAAGTTTGTTGAAAATTCTGGAATTGTCGAATTCTTGGCCTAATTTTCCCCAAACTTCCTTAGTCTAACACTTATTTGTCGTCCATGGGTATATCTAACAAGGATTGCCGGCTTGGAATCGGAGATTTTAAGGTAGAAGTGATTGAATTGCACCTACTTGACCTTTGTGGTCAATTTGGCATTCAATCCAGAAGTGGCCAAGAATCTATCCCAGTCACCGTGTTGGCATCCAGACACGGTAAGACCCAAACAAAAGTTATCAATATACCTATCTGTATTGACTTTGGGTGCTGTTTGCAATGCTGCGGCAGAAATGAGATTCCGGTTAGACCCCTTCCCAACATTTCTAGTGACTTGATTGAATGTTTCAAAATTCCCTGAATTCTAGGCCAAAATTTGGATTTTAAAATAGATACACCTATAGTCTATACACTGTAGGTAAATAGTACATATTCAGATTTTAAGATTAGTAAACAAATAAGGTCATATCGACAAGATGCCATTGGCATCGGTTTTGGACAATCCAATGCTATCAGCAAGGGCACTCTTCACTGCTGATAGCCTACAATGAATACTGGAGCGACTGAAAATGCTGGACAATAGTAGTTGAAGGATTGGAGAACCAGCGATGCAAAAAAAGAGTCCAAGAAACCTATCAAGGACAGTGCTGGAGAGACATCACCGAACACATGGACCCAAACCATGTCTACTAGCAGATGGGCAATGGCGTACATTCGGCCAAGAAGTAAAAAGCATGCAGTGAGAAAAGCGATGATCCATCACTTTTCCACGCGAATCCTATGATTTGTCAGTGTTCTGCTGACCAAGTTCTTTTCTACTCTAAATTAATGGCGTGTAACAGTTTGCGCACGTGTGATGCGTGCGGCACACGCGCTATGTTTCTAGTCGTATCAGTCGTCATTTTTAGTCGTATCAGTTGACATCATTTCTCTATCGTTCACATGTATTCTCTTTTTCTCGTTTCTCCAAATATGTACTTAAAAAATCCTAATATCCAACAGTTCTCGCAACCCGTGCATAAGTAAGCGTTTCAATAGTATCATTGCAATAATATCAGCTGCTAGAGTCGAGCAGTATTTCATGCCTTGATGACACAAGATCGGGCTGCGATCTCTTTATATACACTGACATCACTTTCATGTTTCCAATCTTGAAGTATTCGAGACACAAAAATCGCGATGCGATGAGCCTCCGAGTCTCGATCTATTCTTCAATAGGTAGGGACAGTGGATATTGCTATTGGATTAGAGGTGCTTGGACACCATTTCAATACTTCAGGTGGTTCAGACGCATCGATTATCACATCAAACATTCATGGATTGTTACCTCGTTCTAAATCCGTCTAAATCTTGAAAACTGATGATGTGATTCGGAATCTAAAAACGGCACAACTCATCAGAATAGACACAATTCCAGCTGGGAAAAACACAACAGCAACAGCAACACCAACAATGATGGAATATCCCTAGTCAAATTGTTCAGTAATCAGAAGGAAAAATGGCAGTACATGTTGCAATTGCCAATGTTCTGAACAAAAAGAGTGGCTCATGTCGATCATGTCTTGATATAGTCTTCATTCAACCAACATTAAACTGTTCTTGTTGCTTGATTATTACAGACTTATCAAGCCACGATCTCTGGCAAGGATCCGTCGAGCAGAAGTGAAATGACGTCCCTCAACAACCAGGTAAGATTGATTGTTGGATGTTTCCCTTGTTCATCATATATACGAAAGAGGTCGCTCATGTCATGATATGTTTTATTGCATTCAACCAACAATACACCGTCGTTGTCGCTTGATCACTATAGACTTATCAAGCCATCTCTGAGACAAATCCACCCAAAGAAAGAAATGGGCCCCTTAAGGGAAGTTTGATATCTGAATGTTGCCATTCGCAATCCAACTGACGAAACAAGTTGTGCTTGTAATGATATTCATTTCATTCAGCCCACAACAATACAGTCGCTTGATCACTACTGAATTATCAAGGAGCCATCTCTGGGAAGAATCCGTCAAGCAGAAGTGAAACGGTGTCGCTCAACAAGGTAAGTTTTATTGCTGGATGCCTTCACTTTGCATCCTGTTGAAGAAAAAAGTTGCTCATGTTATGATAAGTTTTTTTTTTCATTCAACCAACAATACACCATTGGCGTCACCTGATTACTACATACTAATTAGCTCAACTCATCTCTGGAACGAATCTATCAAACAGAACAGAATTGGAGTTCATGTTGCAATTGCGAGTGAATCATTATGATGACGGTGATCACCAATACTTGACTACTCCACCCAACAATACACCATCGTCGTCCGTTGATCTCTGAGAAGATTTCATCCAGAAGATAGAAAAGAAATGCCGTCCCTCAAGGTAAGTTTGATTATTTAATGTTGCAATTTGCAATCATGTTGATGACGCTTTTTTGTTGTTGTTGTTTTCATTCAGCCCAGTTGTTGCTTGACTACCAGTACAGTATACTCATCAAGACGTCTCCAACAAGAATCCATAAACAAGCAGCAGAAAAAGGTCTCAAATTTGGCAAAGAAACGGTGAGAACTTGATGAATCTTGGAAGAACATAATACCCAAACATGAGTGTGAAGGAAAATGGATACTCACTTCACCTTTTTCAAAGCACACGACAAAGACAAGGTCATCGTCGAGGATGAGGTGAAGAAAAAAAATTAAAGTGCAATATTGAATCTGCTCAAGATTATTGGCATTTCCAACAATTAGGTAAATATATATATGACGCGAATTGTTTGTACACGTGTACATGATATGTCGCACAAAGATCTCTTTTATTTATAGGCCCTAGAATTTTTGAAGTATGCGATCCGATCTGGTCTCATCAAGAACTGTCCTATCACCGAAGAAGCGATCAATCATGCCGAAGCAATCTGTGGACCTGACGCATCTGCATTGAAAGGCAAGTCAACAAGACCAACTCCAAAGAAGACGTACGACGACTTCTTCAGTCCACTAGAGGAATTGTATCAACACAATCGATCTATTACTGTCTGTATTGATCACATGGAGATCAAGAATGCTAAGTTTCTCATCTGCATTGATACCACTGTGCGTTATAGCTCATGTATTCCTGTGCAGAACCTGAAGACTGACCCTGTATTTGAAGCATTGGATAATAATAATAACTGAGACATTAATCGTTAATATGCTACTCTATGGGCATTCAATTGCCGGTGAAAGATTCGGCTGTAAAGGTCAAGTACTGTGAAGCGGTGAGTCAACAACAAGTTTGAACCATATGAGGCATCTGTATTTTGAACAGAAGTTGCTCAAGTGTCCCAAGGGGGTAAAGACTTCTCCCGCAACGTGGCGGGGTGAATTCGGGGCATGTAAGGTCCTGCAAAAAGTTGGTCAGGGTCCAGGGGAGAAAATAGTCCGCAGACTGCGGCGTTGTGCTTTCATGGAGCGACAGAAATCTCTGCGTTCCTGATGAAGCAACTTAAGCCACTCTTCCTTGTCTACCAATGACTTGCGAAGGACTCGTCGACGGCTTGTTAGCATCGGTCGAATTTCCTTAGGCAAGTCATCAAGACCCATATCAAACTGTGAGTGAATCCCCTCATTGACAGTACTGTGACATTAACATAATTGAACGTTATCATCCGAATGTTGAACGGAGTTCCATTGCTCCCACATGTAGAAGCCGATGGAGATCAGCTGTTGTGAGAGGCGGGACGCCCAAAGAGAGACAGATCGTTGACATCGTATCTTGTCATAATATTGTTGTTGGAGTGGAAGCCAAGACGAGGCGATGCGTCCCTCCAAAAGGCCTTGAGACCCAATCACCTGCTGAGCCAAGAAGACGGCCGAACCGAAGAGGAGATGGGCCTTGGGGGAAATGAAGGAGGTGTGCGAACGCCCTGAAGAAGCTGTAGGATCGCTATTTTGATGGAAGGGCCTGTCAGTTGCAGGACTAGCCACGCGGAGAAGGCTGCAGTGCGACGATCCCATTCAGCTGTTGCCAAAGCAGCTGAACAGCAAGGAACATGCAGATGATCCTCAAAGTCGCCGCAGCGTGGGCAAGCTGCTGATGTCTCCAGACCCCATAGAACTTTAAATTTGCCTGTGGCGCACATGCCCACACAATGTTTAGTAGACCACCTTTGTAGTCCTGCAGGAAGAGATCGCATGGCGCGACCCATTGTGTCCCAGGCAATCTCAGACTCGGCTTCAGTGGAGATAGTACCTTTGTCCCTCCAGCAGGTGCGTAGGGCCGGAAGAGTCACACACTCTTGGATGAACTGGGGATCAAGGCGTGACTGTTTGGTACAGTGCCGCAAGTTCAGTGAAAAAACGAGGGTTGGGGGCTATAAGATGATTGGCCGTCTCAAGTTCCTTACGGTACTCCACCGCCATACCATCCACCTCAAGGTTCTGTTTCTCCCACCAAGAAAGTTCGTCAAAGAGATTGGACTTGTCAAGGTGTCCATACATGTGCTGGGGCGCCCAATCCACCGAGGACCGAAGGATCGCTTCCGAATGGACGATACCAGGTCAAACTGAGCATCAGTTGGAGACAGTGGACGGTCTTCGAAAGCCATCTCAATAGCAGAGAGGCCGTCGCAAGCAATCCGCACCTTGGGTTCGATCGAAATTTTTGGGAACCATTGCTCAAGGAGCCAATCGACCGCCATTATACCGGCCAACAGACCAATGAGCTCGCTGCGGTATGGACTCTGGTCCTGGGGCAAACCGGGAGTCTGACACCGGATGATGATATGATGGCATCCTCCATGCTTCACCAGGATTTGAACCGCCGCGGTCCCCAACTCGTTCTTGAAGGATCCATCGCTGATCACACGCAGGCGACCGTGCAACAGAGCGTCAGCTAAGGTGGCTTTAATCGTTAATATGCTACTCTATGGGCATTCGATTGCCGGTGAAAGATTTGGCTGTAAAGGTCAAGTACTGTGAAGCGGTGAGTCAACAACAAGTTTGAACCATATGAGGCATCTGTATTTTGAACAGAAGTTGCTCAAGTGTCCCAAGGGGGTAAAGACTTCTCCCGCAACGTGGCGGGGTGAATTCGGGGCATGTAAGGTCCTGCAAAAAGTTGGTCAGGGTCCAGGGGAGAAAATAGTCCGCAGACTGCGGCGTTGTGCTTTCATGGAGCGACAGAAATCTCTGCGTTCCTGATGAAGCAACTTAAGCCACTCTTCCTTGTCTACCAATGACTTGCGAAGGACTCGTCGACGGCTTGTTAGCATCGGTCGAATTTCCTTAGGCAAGTCATCAAGACCCATATCAAACTGTGAGTGAATCCCCTCATTGACAGTACTGTGACATTAACATAATTGAACGTTATCATC